TAAGTAATATATATATATATATATATATATATATATATATATATATATATATATATATATATATATTTATAAATTTACACACATATAAAGATAATATGTGTCTATAAAATATAAGCTTACACATATTTTTTTGATAAATTTCAAATTTTATTAAAATTTTTGTTAAAATTAGGAAGATGACTGTTTTTAAAAAGTGGTATTTTGATTAAAATTAGGAAGATGACTGTTTTTAAAAAGTGGTATTGGAAAATGGGTATTTTTGAAATTCTCCCTTAATTATAAGAGATTTAAAAACATCGAAACCTATATTGATGGAAAAATGAATATGATTAATAAAAACGAAAACAAAAAAAATTTAAAGTGAAACAAAACTAATTATTCTTGGGAGATTAAAGTTAAAAAAACTAATAATTTTTGAGAATTAACGTGAATATATTATTCTTGATGATATATTTTGATTTTGTTGTTTACGTATTTTTATTTTTTTTGCCACCCGTTACCGTTACCTTGCGAGGAAAAAGATTTTGAAAATTTATATAATTTGATAGGAACCAAAAAACCTCTAAACCTACTACTTTATTTCAAGGGGAATATGCAAATTAATTTTTTTACCATTCCTTTTTGAAAAAATAACCCCTCTTGTTGTCCATTGAAAAAAACATTCCCTATTCCAAGTACAAAATTACTAAATTACCCTTTTAATGCAATTCATGATGGAGAAAATAATATTGTATTCCTATTCCTTCCAAAACTATCCCGCCAAAATTTTTCCGACACAAATTTTCCGGTCAAATTTTATTTTTAACACAAACTTTTTTTTTGCCAGAAAACTTTTGGCGGAAATTTTTTTGGATGGAATATTCTAACACATGTGTTCGAAAATGGGTGGTGTTGGTCGACACCAAAATATTTTTTGGTTGGACCAAATTAATTTCAATTGCAAAATCGATTTGGTTTGGGTTGGTTTAACCCTAGGGCTCAACTTTTAAAAGAAGAAGAAGTCGATTATGGTTCTTTTCAGCTGCTTTTGCATATTTCAGAGAGTGAAAGTTTCTAAGTGTTCTCTAGTGAGGTATTGTGAGTTTCCAATGAGGTTTGAGACTGGTTCTTAATAGTTCTAGGCTAGAGAAGGCTAAATCCATGGTTGTTTGGATGTTTTGATGTTGTTCATTTAAAGAGGTGAGTGCATGACCAAGAGTTATCTAAGCAGTTTTTGATCCATGTTTTGGGTGATTTTTATGATTGTTGATTGATTTCCTTGCTTGTATTTCTGTTTTCTGTGTTGTGGTACCTATGTACGTCCATTGGGAGAGTCTTAACCGGCTATGGAGGGCCAGGAGAAAGAGATCCGTCAATGAGAAGCGATTGGAGTGATGTTAGGGTTTCAGTGACAATCGACAATACTCGTTTGTTCGTGTTTTCAGGAGCGAGTGTCGGCCGACACCAGTTCACAGCAGTGGCTAAACTTTGTTAATTGTTTGCTTTGTATTGTAATATTGTTTGCATATGACTTATACTGCTTGTGTGTACAGTCCAGTAGTTTGTATATCCTAGTAGTTGGGATGAGTGCCACACTGAGTATTTCTAGAAATACTTATGCATTTCTTTCTATGATGGAGGTAAAGGCAAAGTGTGACTGTGGAATCAAGGCGAGGAGAGAGTAATGATCTAGGGGCTCGCTTGATGTTTTATGCTTTTTATGTTATGACCTTGTTAGGAATGTTTAGTTCTAAAACTTAGAAGCATGTTAGGGTGTTATGTTATCAGAAATTCGGTGATTGCTGGTTTGGCTGACTTGTTTCTTTGATGCTTTTGGTTATTGGATTGTTAATTTAAATTTCTTCCGCTGGTTATTACTTGGTTTGGAATGGTTTGTTCTGGATATCTGGTTTAGTCTGCTTTAGTTGGTTTAAATTGATTTAGTCCAGTTTAGTTAGTTTAAATTGATTTAGTCCGGTTTAGGTAGTTTAAATAGAATTAGTGTGGTTTAGCTTGGTTTAATTGTGTAAATCCGGTTATGAATGTACTCCAAAAAAAAAACGGGTCGGGTTTCAAATAATATGTTCTCCATCATGAGTTCCATTGAAAAAGGGTAATTTAATCATTCTGTACTTAGAAGAGGGTTTTTGTTTCAAAATGGATAACGAGATATTTTTGCAAAAGAGTATGGTAAAAAGTTTATTTTTGCAAATCCCTTAGGTTTTATAATTAGCAAGAATATATATATATGTTTGAGTTTATATTAGAGAATTAGGGTTTAGGTTTTACAATCAACGAAATTATTTGTCAGTTTGAGTTTAACTATATAATATTTTTGTTAATGATCTTATTTTATATGTATAATATTAAAATTTATTTATTTTAATTAGGTGACAAAAAATACTTGGGTTCACCCCTAGTGAAGAACCTACATATTTATCCCCTATTAGCTTAACCAATAAAATTGGAGTAATATGCCACTTCATATTATATTTTAAAAATAAATCAAAACAAAAAAATTAAAATTATTTTAATGGCTTTTTTGATAAAGTTTGAAAATGGGTATTTTGAAAAGGGGTATTTTTCTAAATTCCCCTTAAATAAAAAAAATTAAGGAAACAAAATCTATAGACTTTTTATTTAAAAATAATATATGTCAATTTGGGTTTATAAAAGACGGATTAGGATTTATATTTTACAATCAAACAAAATTATATGCCAATTTAGGTTTATATAGGAATATTAGGGTTAAACTTTTATAATTAAATGTAATTATATTTCAGTTTAGGTTTATAAATAAATACCAGGCTTTAGATTTTACAACTAAACAAAATTATTTGTTTGTTTGGGTTTATAAAAGAGAATTAGGGTTTAAATTTTACAAGTAAACAAATTATATGTCGGTTTGCGTTTATAAAGGAGGATTAGGGTTTAGATTGTACAACTAAATCAAAATTTATCATTTTGGGTTTATAAAATTGGTCAGGGTTTAGATTTTACAACTAAAACAAAATTACATATCCGTTTGGGTTTATAAATGATGTTTATATGTATACATATGTTGTTTCCATAATCTTTTTTATTTTGTATTTTATATTTTATTTTTGTTTTTAAATAAAATAGACGTGACATATTACTCTAGTTTTATTAGTTTAAGCTAAGAGTGTGTGAATATGTCAATATAAGAGCATCTCCAAAGAGAAGATATATCTCTTCGTTACATGTTTCTCTCCGATTAGGTTATGGTGTTCGATAATTTGTTCTAGGATTTTGATATTGGTTGACCTGTTGTGCAATTGATTGTGGTATGCTCTTGTATTGATCGATAGATATAAAGCTTGTTGTATATGGATTAGTCTGAATTTATTATGGAAAACCAAATTTATCATGTAGTTAGAGCTAGATAAAGCTAAGGTGTTCAGTTCTAGCATTTTATGGTTCATCTGTTGTGGTAGTAGTTGAGGTATGCTGTTGTATTCCTTAAACAAGAAAGCACATATTTGATTGATATGAAGTCCTTGGTTGATTTATATCAAATCTAAGGATTTTAAACATTCTTGTTTTTTATCGGCAAAACTTAGTTATAATGAATGCTCTTTAAGTGTCGTTAGTTTGATAGCTTAATCTTGCTATAATCCTTGTGTATCCTTTTGGTAGTGTGTCCACTGAGGTTAAGTTAAAGATTGACGAGTTGAAGTCAAAGCTTGAGAAAGAAAGGTAGGCTATTACATCTTATCCTTCATGCTTTTGTGAATGTTGGTTTGGAAGATGAGATACAAATGTTGATATTTTTCTCTCCTTGATTTACAAAATGCAGACAAAACTTTGCCAAAGCACTTTCAAAGAGTTCAAAGGAGTTCTAAAGAAAGATCCCAAGATGATTAATAACTTAATTGAGTCTTTATAAGTATAATAAGCTAAATTCTGATTCATATTTGCAGTGTGAGAATATCTTGAAGGATGAAGCTGCCAAGTTTGAGGAGATTCATAAGAAATTCATTAAAGACAAAGATGATCATTTACAGGGTTTGAAAGGTATTATTTCTATTGCCTTCTGGTTTTGTCATCTCTTACTCTTAAAGGTAATAGTCTTGGTTGTCAAAAATGTCTATTTCTTTCATTACCTAAGTAGGATTTTACCGAAAGTGATGATAATGTGTTTCTGCTTTATAGACATTGTTTTATAGTTTGAGGAACCTTTCTTTCTTTCTCAAAAGTGTATGAGTTTCATGTCTTCTTGTTTGGCCAAGTCTCTGTTTCCTTTTATCATTGTGTGTTATTGGTGTTTGAACTATGACAGAACATAATAGACTTGGGGAGGAACTATGACTGAAATTGAACTGTCATGTTGTTGTAACTCATGAAAGACAAGTATAGAGTCAAAGTGTTAGATTGTTGTCTCAATGTGTTTGAATCTATTACTGTTTTGGACAGAACACATAAGCTTTATCTTGTGTATGTGTGATTGATGTAAGATTGATATGGTACCCGTGATGCATACAAGTTGGTGGACCCGTGATGCATACAAGTTGGTGGACCTGTGATGGCTCCAAGTTGTGATTGAAGATTGTGATACACCCATAAAGAGCATATGGGAAATTCAGCATAAAGACTTGTACACGTTGATTGTAATTAAGATTTCAACTAAATGTTGTATGAAATCATCTCTATATTTTGTAAGCTTTAAATTTCATGCAACGCAATATAATTTCGAATCTTAATAAAATTTATTTTGTACCAATTTATTATAAAATTGCTTTTAAAATTTATTTTACTTAAAACCTATTATTTATCAAACAAGAAAAATATTTATTTTCATATACCCCTAACGAAATTCACCAATGGACAACCAAAAAATTAATGAATCCTAAACAAGTTATTAACTTTACTTTAATCACCATTTATTAATAAAAAATAGTTAATAACTTCACTAATAGGAGATGGTCTAAGGTGAACCCAAGTTTTGTGACATATTCTGATTGGCTAAAAGTGAAAAAGAGTGAATAGAAGGGTTCACCATGAATCCAAGTATCATTTCCGACATAAACAAGATAATACATTTTGTCCAAAAAAAAAAAAAAAAAAAACAAGATAATACATTATTTTGTTGTCTCATACATAACATTACTTTTGATTTTTGATTAAACTGATAGGCGACGAACACGAAGATTTATCAAGGAACCTCTTGTTGTATCTGTGAGCAAACCAATGACCACCAATCAAATATGTTGAATCCTTCGATGTGATAAGGGTCACAGATGTCACATACCCCATAATGATATGATATGATATGGTATGATATGATATGGTATGAGCAATTATAGAAAAATCACACAAACGTCAAGATGTCACATTCCCCGTAATCTCATACTTACAAGATAAGGTAACATGTGTTTCAGTGTTTTCTATTGTAAAATTTGTTTGATCAAGGATATGAATTAGAAAACAAATCCAAAATAATTGTTAATTAATGAGTTTTTTTCAAAAAAGTATTTTCTCATTTTTAATTCAATGATTTCATTTTAATATTTTCTTAACTTACAGATATAAAATTCAGATAGTAATATATATATATATATATATATATATAATTGTTTGGAACTCCTCTATAATAAAACTCAATGAGTTTATATTCTTTTAAAATTGGAAAATTGTCTTAAATACCATAATAATATGTATTTTTCCAAAAGCACCACAAAACTAAAACTAATTTTTTAACATTCAAAACTAATTTCTGAATCCTAAAAACTAAACTTTACCCGTAAAAACTATACCCTAAATATAAATAAACAACACAAACATTAAAAAGATAATTCTACATATTCAAAAAAATCATCTTTTTATGTTTTTTGTGTTTTTTGAAAAGTAAAACTTTTGTGGTATATTTGGTAGAAAAATTAAAATGATAATTTCCCTTAAAATTTTACAAATATAACCATAATTTAAAAACTTTATATAATGCCTTTTACATTAAATGCCATTATTACATCTAATAATTATGATGTTGATTGGTTCTCTTGCTATCATCCATTAATGTAGCGGTCGGCTAAAAAAGGAAACGTTCTTTAACTTTCATTTTCCAATATGAATCTTATTTTCATTTCACTATGATTTTTATTGGTTTAATATATAAATTATTATTATTTATTATTTATTTATGTTCGACCATTTCTTCTTCTATATATAAGAGACGCTATAGTTCCAAGCTAATAACTCTTCAAACTTATAACGCTATAGTTCCAAACTAAAATGAACATGATTTGGAACGTTTCAATATGTGTTACAGCTTTAGTTGTTGTACTGATCAGTAGATGGTGGTACCGATGGTCAAATCCCAAGTGCAATGGCAAGTTACCTCCGGGAACAATGGGGCTTCCGATCATCGGAGAGACACTAGACTTCTTTAAGTCTTATGGATTCAACGAGACTTCACCCTTTATCAGCAAGAGAATGTCCAGGTAAAATATTAAAACATCAAGTATGTTTATTTATTTTTTTAATAACTAAGAAGTTTTATATCGAAGTCCATACATTTTTTCAGACCCGTGACCATAACAAATTATATCCTTTAGTAAAAAAATATCAAATCTTATGTAATCTTGTGAACGTTTTAGGTATGGGCCAATATTTCGGACCAACATTTTTGGATCCAACACCGTGGTAGTGACAGACCCTGATGTAATGGTCGAGGTTTTTCGACAAGAGAACACGGCTTTTGTATTTAGCCTTCCGGATGCGTTTGGCATAGTATTAGGAAAAGATGATGCTATAGTCAATCATGGGAAGACCCACAAGCATTTCAAACAAATCACACTCAACTTTCTTGGCCCTGAGGGTTTAAAGAAGAAGTTGATAGGAGGCATGGACCGAGCAGCCTGCGAGGGTCTTAGATCAAAGGCTAGCTTGGGGAGCTTCAATCTTAAGGAGGCAGCTGAAAGCGTATGTACATAATAAGTTTTTTTGTTTTTGTTGGTATTGATGAACTAAAATGATTTAACAATATGTTTCTTTGTCGTATGCTACTTTTGTAGTTGATAATTAAGCACTTGATTCCCAAGTTGATAAGTAACCTCGGAGCAGAGGCTCAAGAAAATCTGATGGACATCTTTATGGCCTTCAATCTTGATTGGTATCAGTCTTTCTTTAGTCTTTCTACCTGGAAATCATTGTATAGATCCTTTACGGTAAGTAATTATTATAGGATTTTTTTTCAATGTAGTAAATCCTAAAATGGTTCATTTAATTAGATAAAAATGTAACATATATGTATATATTTATTGCATTATATTGAAAACAAAAAATACCACAATTTCTAAAGAAATTCCCTTGGATGACATATTTTAAGTTTTTTTTCAAAAATACCACAATTTTTTTTTATTCCAAAAATACCACGAAAAGGTTATTTTTCCAAAAATACCATAGACATAAAAATATGATTTCTGAAGGTGTAGAATTATTATTTTTTATGTTTGGGTTGACTTATATTTAGGGTTTAGTTTTTAGGGGTAAGGTTTAGTGTTTAGGATTTAGAAATTAGTTTTGAATGGTAAGATTTAAAAATCTGGTATTTTTGGAAAAAAGTATTTTAGTGGTATTTTTGGAGAATAGAACTCATTATCCAAAAATGCAAGTTTTAGTGGTATTTAAGAGAATTCTCCAAATGTCTAAATATTGTCTCTATCAACTGCATCCAGGCAAGCAGAGCCGTAAAGAAGGTGATAAGTAATGTTCTCTTATCAAGGAAAGAATCGGGAGAGAAGCATGACGATATCCTCAACACGGTAATGGAAGATGAAGTTTTAGATGACAAATACGTTATCTTCCAAACCTACGTTATTCCGATCGCCGCTAAAGATACTACTTCTGTGATGATTTCCATGGCAGTAAAATACATTACAAGTAACCCTAAAGTTTACTTAGAGTTGAAGGTAATAATTAATATATATACACATATAGCTAGCTAACAATTTTTCTTAGAGTTGAAGCATGGGTATGACATTATATGCTTATAAATATGGCAGAGAGAGCATAATGCTATCCTTCAAAACAGAGTTGATAAGAACTCTGGAGTGAGTTGGGAAGAGTACAAAAACAACATGAGTTTCACCAAAATGGTAACTTTTAGATATCCATATATATATATTTGGAAAAAAAGATATCCATATATATAGTAGTAAAAATTATCCCTATAGCCACTTGATTTTTTGCGGCTACGCTATATTATTCGTGGCTATAACGTCGTAACTTAAATAATTTGTGGTTTTTATAGCCACGAATATAAGGCACATCCATGAACATGAAAGTGGTTATAGAGAATTTTTTTACTAATATATTAGTAATTTCAATTACAATATATATATATATATATATATATATATATATATGATAAATAATAAAACACAAAGAATATGTTGCAATGCAGGTGATTAATGAGACTCTTAGGCTGGTAAATATGGCTCCTGTAATGTTTAGAAAGACTTTGGTAGATGTTACAATTCAAGGCAAGTAATACTATTAAAATTCGACCACTTATTCAAACATATTCTCAAAGTTTTTTTTTTTCTTAAATAAACATTTTGTGGTGCGAAATTGGTAACAGGATATACGATTCCAAAGGGTTGGATGGTGTTTCTTGCAACTTCATTATTGCATTATGATCCTGCGATATATGAGAACCCTTTAGAGTTTAATCCTTGGAGATGGGAGGTATATACTGATTCTAATCTTTGATATCTAATTAATAACATCATCTAAAGAATGCAAAAATTAATGAAAATAAATGTGAAACAGGGCAAAGATGTGGTTAATTTTTCTAAGTCATTCATGGTATTTGGAGGTGGAATGAGACTGTGTCCTGGTGCAGAATTTGCAAGGCTTCAGGTTGCAGTTGTTCTTCACCATCTTGTTACTAACTACGATTTCACAATGGCTCAAGATAGCGAGGCTACTCGTACACCACTAGTTTCTTTTCCCAATGGCATGCACATGAGCATCTCTCCCATCAACTAATTTGGAGATCTTAATGCTATCTAAATGAAATACGTCTATATTTAAGTATTCATGATACTTTTAAGTTTCATTTTCACATTGAGTATAACTCAATTTCTATCCAAAAGTAATCAAGATTTGTTTAAAGTTAAATGAAAGTGAACACATGATATAAAAATATACTTTTATTATTTAACATTTTGGTAAGCATTCGTGATACGTGTGTTAATATACAGATGTGTCTATACGGAGTAACCACGTGCAAAATTTACAATGAATTTACCTTATGAAAAGAAATCATCGTTAACATCACGTCGTCTCTTGGGTCTTACCTTAACAACTCAATGAATTTACCTTATGAAAAGTAATTCTATTTCCTCTTTTGCAGAAAAAAGAAGGTGGGGAAGTTTATACTTGAAGTATCAATGGCTATAAGAATCGTTCATAAAAAAAAAACCTAAAACTTAAAGAACGTGACGACGTTAACGCAATTAATCTTTTGTTAATGATTTTATTTTTCAATTTTCCTTTTTATTTATTTTATTTCCTTAATTTTAGTTTTTAAAGATAAAATATAGTGTATCATTTTAGATATTGTGTGACATATCACTCTCCTATTGACTTAAATAAAAGGAGGTGAATGAATGGGTTCACCCCTATAATTGTTCTTTGAATAATTCATTTTAATGAGGAAAAGACTTGGGTTCACCTATATTATCTGAACCAATAAATTTAGAGTATTATGCCACATCATAGCATGTTTAAAAAATAAACTAAAATTAAAATCAGAAAAATAAAAACAATGAAGGAAACAAAATCTGTATACTTTTAATAAAACATGGTTAACTATATTTTTGAGGTTTATATCTTATAATTAAAACAAAAATATATATCAGTTTGAATTTATAAATGGGGATTAGGGTTTCGATTTTACAATTAAAAAAAAAATTATATGTCGGTTTGCATTTATAAAGGAGTGGTTAAGGTTTTGTTTTTACAATTAAAATAAAATTATATGTCGATTTGGGTTTATAAATAAATTGCTAGGGTTTGGATTTTACAGCTAAAACAAAATTATATATCGTTTTGGGATTATAAATGAGTGGTTATAATAATTTTTAGGTATTTTATCAAAAATCTTAACCAATCGAGCTATTAACACTTGGTTCATTCAGTTTATTTCGTATATAAGTCATGGAGAGGCTTTCACTATCTCATTCTCAAATATTTTTGTGATCCTGACACGTGATTAGTAGATTTTAGAATACCATATATATAATTATTTGGGTGATTTGTTTTCTATTAACTAGTAAAAGAAATCTATGATGACAGCTAATTGTAGGGTATTTAACTGACGTTGCATGTTATTTCTAAACCTGATTTGTTCATAATAACATGAAGCGACAGCTAAATTAACCAATCGTAGAGGTTTCTGTTTCTTTATATTACATATTGCTGCCAAATCCGGAAATATGTTTATATGTTTCGAAAACATTTTTAAATTTTATATGCGAGCGATTCTTTAATTTCGAAAGATTTTTAAAAGATTTTTAATTCCCTACTATATATATATCGCGGACGTGATTCATGTGAGCGATTCTTTAATTTCGAAAGATTTTTAAAATTATAAAATACCAATCATCAGACAAAATCGAGATATCATATCTTTTCCACATTATGTCAATTTTTTTATAATCCGGACACCAAAAATCGAGAGATATGATCACATATTCCAATTATAAAGATATCATATATATACCAGAAATATAAATATTTGGTTCTTTGTAATACTTATACCAGCTCACTAAAAAGATTCTAACTCCAATTATATAGATTAAAATAATCACTATGAAAATGGTTTTTTAAATATTGTTTGTTTTATTTCAAAAATCTTAAAAGTAGCATTCATATGATTTTAACAATTAAGTAAGGAATTTGAGTTTGCTCAGTACTTATCTGTCACACAGTACACACTATATTAATTAAAGGATTATAGGTAACCAAGATTTTTCTTTTTTTGTTTTTTTGGCATTGTTACATAACCAAGGTATCGGAAAAAAAAAAAAAAAAAAGATATAGAAATTTATCTTGGTTTATTTTGATAAAGAACATTAATATTTTTAATTTTGTATAGTAGATGTAAAATTAATACATTCACTATTATTAAAAACATTATGTAATAAAATCTGTAATGATGATTGTTTAGTTTGTAAGTCCATGATTAAAACTATGGATGAATGCAACAACCCTTGAGGAGTTTGGAGTCATGGACCGATCCAAAATATGGATGGACTGATGATGGCCGAGAGCTTTGATCGGATACTACGAACTGATATTCAGAAGACGTATGGGGACTATGGACCCGTAAGCCAAGAGCTTGATTTGCCATCGTGACCCAAAGGATCTGTAAGATCTCTTGTTTCTTGTCTCTACTGGAAATTGATGGTTTCTTAACAAATCTTAGCTCTAACAATAATGATTTTGTAGCTAATAACAAATCACAATTTGTTAAGAGACTACCAATAATGATGGCCGAACAAGACAACCAAACAAACTAAGGTTACGAATGGTAACCATACTGCACTACAAAACGAAAACCGCACCGCAACATTGCTGTAACAGTGTCAAAATATCTGCATATACATATATATTTATGTATTTCCGTTACTATTTAAACCGCATTGCACTTCTCCTGCAGTGAAAAACGCAGTTACCGTTTGAAGCCTAACTATGAGGACGGATCCTTATCGGTAAAGATATGTAAACTAAACCATTTTTGTAACTTAATGGTTAACCTAGATATTCGGGAATTGACCATTAGTTTTTGAACGTGAATCAAGCCTGGTTGGTAAGCAAATTGAATTTATGACTTGGTCGAGTAAATGATCGATCTAAAGTGTAAGGGACAAGGGTGATTAAACATGTACAAGAGCTTGGTAAGAATTATTAAACTGTTGTGTATAAAATTAAAGAAACGTTGAAAAAAAAAATTAAAGAAAGAAGAAGCACAAACGTGAAATCTTTTGTTCAGCAGACGTCAGGGATTAGGTGTCATAAATTCATAACTAGAGAATGGCCCGTGCTTTCGCACGGATGATGTTTTTTAAAATAAAGATATAATTGGATTTATATTAATATTTGGTATTCAATAGTATAGGATAAACATAATAGTCTTGTATATTTTAATTTTAATTCTATAGAGTTAAATCGCGTGTTGATTTGTATATTTTAACTGTATAGAAAGTAAATAATATATACAATAGTAATTAGGTCTGGTTTTAATATAAGTACGTATATATTATATTTTCCCTAAAACCGTTAAATTTATCAATCACGGACATTACCTCAACGGTGTATAAGAAAATGCAATCTTTTAATATAATTTACAAAAATTGTATATCGGTTGAAAGATAACATAAGTGATATATAACAATTTCATAAATTTGGATAATCTATTTATGAATACCTTATAAATAAAATTTAACTATTGGCAAAAGTATATGATAAACTAATCTGCTAAAATGTTAACAAAAAAGGAAAATATGATAAATATTGTAATTGTAAACAATTTTAATATAAAATTTAATCTTTAATCTACTTGAAATAAGGTAAATTAAATGTTTTAAGTTTAATAATGTACAAAATATTTAAATTTAGAAATATTAATGAAAAACATAAAAAAACTGAGATTTTTCACCTAAACTATTTCCTTAATTGAAAATTATAATACCTATTAAATCTTTTAGATATTCGAAAATAAGATTTAATTCCAAGACCCGATTAAGAGACCTGTTTTAAGAGATGACCAGAATATCTTTCAAAGTAATGCTATTTTAATATTTTAAAATTTAGTTTAAATTAATTAAATGCTTACCAAAATTAAATTTATTATCATTTTTATCTAAAATCGGTTAGTAAAAGAGGTAATATTAGTTGAAATTTATTTCCTTCCTTTTTCGTTTCTGAAAATGATTTTTTCTTATAAGTTTTTAAAGAAAAAATGTTATCAATCAAATTTTTTATTTCATAAAATGTATATTATTTTTATTCATGGTTAAAAAATATATTAGTTACATAAGATCTTTTAAGATATCTTGCATATCTTATGTTTCAAAAAAATATTTAAGTATATATTTTTCAAATTTATTTTCTCTTTTATAACAATGAAAATAATTTAATAGTTACAATAAAACCACTAAAATACATTTGAATTTATCTTAAATTTTATTCCTTAGTAGCCTTACATGCACCTTTTGGTTATAAATTTCACATATATTAATTGAAAACTTTAAATTATTCAGGAAATAATGAATACTTATATATATATATATATATATTATAAAACTTTAAAAGAAAAGGAGTGCTATTTTTGAATAATAAGTAATTAAATGTTTTCAAAATTAAATTGGATTAAAACCTTTAATACGAAGTTTTTGAATAAAAAAAGATGCACAAATATTAATTTAATTTCTTTTGTTTACTTTAAAAAAACGTTTTAAATATAAATGATTTTAGTTAAATAGTTTAGGAAATATTTAATTCACGTATAGGAATAGTAATGAAGACATAATATATTGAGATTCTTCACCTAATAAATTTCCTTAGATAAAAATTATAATATCTATAAAATCTTTTAGATATTTGAAAATTTAGATTAACGATCAAGATTTAATCTACAAATAAACGATTGCGATAAAATCTTAAATGCATATATATATATATATATATACCATGTAATTTAGAGGAAATTTTTTTAAAAGGAATAGTAACCATTTTATTTAACTTTTTTTACATATATGATGATAAGAAGTAGGACTAAATAACCTTCGAATGCATAGCACGTTTTTTGGGTTTATTGGGGAGGATGTTGTTGATCTTCGTAGTTTTCCCAAAGACCTCAAAATCTCAAGCTACTACATCAAAAAAGTAGATTACAATTAGTTGTTTTAAAAAAATTAAACACAAAAAGTAAAATATTATGAGTAAACATTGATTAAAAACGATATGAAAGCATGTGGTGTGAAAATTTGTATTAGTTCATGCTTTGTTTTGTGAGATATATATTTTGTCTCGCTTTTGAAATGAATGTAAACTAAGAAAACATGTAATGGTTTATATAGGCTGTAAAAATGGGGTAGTTAATATTTTAGAATATTTG